AAATCCAATCTAGCATTGGTGTTATCCTTCGTACAACCCTTGTCATCCATGACGGTATTTTTAATGTTATCTAAAAAATTCTTCTCACAATGCATGACATCAAGGTTATGACGAATCAATAAATCCTTCCAGTATGGCAATTCCCAAAATATACTACATTTCACCCAATTATGAAAAACACCAAATCTTGCAATTGAATGTTTACGAAGTGGCTGGCCAAAGACTATATCAGGGAGCTGATTAACCCTTTCTTCCATCAAAGTACTGTCTAGTCTTGGGGGGGGGACGGCTTTTTTCAACTCTATTGAGATAAAAATTCTTCTTATCTCTATGGAATGGATGTTTAGGAGGTAAAAATTGACGATGACAATCAAAAAATGATGTTTTCCTCCCATATTGAAGTTGAAAAGCCTTAATGTTCTCTATGCAATAAGGGCATGACAACTTCCCATGTGTGCTCCATCCAGATAACATGCCATAACCTGGAAAATCACTTATAGTCCATAGCAATGTAGCTTTCATGATAATATTCTGTTGTCTGAAACTATCATAAGTTTCAACCCCATTTGTCCACAATTCCTTAAGTTCATCAATTAATGGCTTAAGCATGACATCAATGTTTTTTCCTAGACTTTTAGGTCCAACAATTATCATGGCAAGAAATATATGCTCTAACTTCATACACAATTCAGGAGGAAGGTTGTACACTGTAAGAAAAACAGGCCAACAAGAGTAAGGCATTGCAGAGCAACCAAATGGATTGAAACCATCTGTACAGAGGCCAAGTCTAACATTTCTAGGTTCATCAGCAAATGTTGGGTGGGTTTCATCAAAGTGTTTCCATGCCTCACTACCCGCAGGATGAATAACTTCATTCGCATCCTCACGACATTTCAAATGCCATGTCATGTGCTTTACTGTTTTTCTAGACATGTATAGTCGCTGCAATCTTGGGGTAATTGGAAGGTACCACAAAAATTTCCTTGGAACATCTTTCAGCTTTATAGCAGACATATTCCTTGGCTCATAACGAGATTCTCCACACACTGGACAAATAGTTAAATTCTTACTTTGCTCATCATAGTACAAGAAGCAATCATTGACACAAATATCAATTTTCTTGTACCTAAGTCCAAGCACATTTATCATTTTTTTTGCACTATAAAAATCCTTTGGCACCTTTTCTTGGTCCTCTGGACTCAACAACTTTCGACTCAATGACAATACCATTTCCCAATTAGCAGCACTCATATTATAAAGAGTTTTCATGTTTAGCATTTCTGCCATCCATGAAAGTACTGTAACATCTTGTCCCCCAGCACCTATATGGACTTCTGCAGCATGCAAGAGATCATAAAATTCTCTTGCCTTACTATTTGGCTCCTCAGCCATTGGCCCGTCATTGTATTCAGATTGTGCACCCATTGCATCAATTACCATTTTATGGTATAATGCATCTACCTCATTTCTAACAAACTCCATATTAGAAGATTCCCCTTCAAAGTTTCTTATTGTATTACTAGATGTCTCTCCATGAACATACCATGTATAATAGTTATTCATAAACCCATGCTTACACAAATGCACAGAGACAACCTCAAGATTCCCCCATTTTCTACATTTACATTT